TTCTCTGTCAGCGCCGCTGAGCCATCTGAACTGCCAGAGCACTTCAAAAGCCTGCAGGTCATCCGTCTTCCTCCTGCGCCCTGAATGTTCAGCCTCAGCTGAGTGCTGGTGATTTGTTATGACTTGAGAGCCAGCTGACAGACAGGTCTCCCATAAAAAAACATGCACCCATTTCCCTGTTGTTGTGCAGTGAAAGCATTGATGCTCTGTAATGTGTGTGTGTGTGGGGGGGGGGGGGGTGGGGTCCGAGTGCCACAGGAGGCTGGCACCTGACAGTTGTATCATCATCCTAATTTGCAGACATGGTGACATGAGGTATTTTGTCTTGCTCTTTCTCTTCTCCCCTCAATGTGGATTTTTGGGTCTGGTGTGTGTCTCTTACAGGTCACCATATGTTGGGGAACGCACAGGGGAAAATCTTGGTTTAGGGGGTGGGGAGCATGTTTTCAAACTCATCATTAGTCCAGAGCCCAGTATATGTCATGTGATGTCAGAGAGCATGATGGGAAGACTGCTGATGGCTGTAAAACCACTCGTGCAAGGAACGTGAAAGGTGAGAAGCTGAAGACAGGAGCAGGTAACACAAAAAAGAAATTTCAACTCTTTTCCCAGGCCCCTTATTAGATTGATTGTTTTCTGCTGGTCTAATTTTGGATCATACAAAAACAACCCATTTGTCTTCAAGAAAAATGATGTGCTACATGCTGCAGATGGATTTTCCTTTTCTTTTTTTAAAATGTGAGATTAAAGAGAAACTCTGCTCCTCAGCTCTAATTACGAGCTGTATATTACTCTGTCGATTCAACCAGATGGCAGATCTCGATTCTGCAGACCCTCTTGTATATTAATGAACAACGGTCTGTTATATTTGACTTGGGTAAATGAAATGTCCATCACCTGTAATGGCCTGCCAGATGGCATGTATTTTGCACAATTTTTGGCCTATTTGGCATTTTTCACATGCAACAGTATTAATAGAATATTTTTGCTTTAAATTTTCCTTCATTGCTGGTCTTTTTTCTTTTTTTTTACCAGGAAGAAAGCTTTCCAAGTTCTGTCCAGAGCTAATTTCGTCAGATAGGTCAAGGCAATAACTCCAGCACTAAACCTGTCATGCTGGTCGAAGCACATGAGTTCGATAGAAACTTGATTATGTCAGCCTGTGGACATGACTGCAAACACGGCAATACAGTACGTTAACAAACCTAATAATAAGATGCGAGGTCAGGATGGAGGGCATGGTCACACAGTTTTTGCATTTGATACATAAAGCATGCTTCTTGAGTAGTTCTGTATTTTTCTAGCTCTATAGAACCAGCGGAAATTTTCCTGGTGACTCAGATTTCCCCGAACATGGCTTCCTATTAAGAGTGTTTTAGGTCGAGTTTACTAAAGAAACTAATAGTCTTTGTCTCAGCATGTCTGAAGCGACCACTGGAAACTTAAAGATGCAAAAAAAACGCATTTGCCAGTCCAAGCCCACAGAAACTCTATCCATGAATATGCCAGGCCTAATTTCCGAACCAACAGTTGGGGCTTTTGGCTGTGTTTCCCAGACCGAGAGCACGAACAGCAAGGAAGCACAATACCAGTGTGTCATACATTTAAACGTGGTTAAATTAAAGGCTGTTTACCGTTCACAGAGGCCATTCATCTTACTCAGTGTTGGTCAAATTTGTCAGTAAGAGCTTCCACATGCCAAGATGAAGAGAGGAAAAAGTTGGGGTTATCAGAGGCGGGTTTGTATTGCGTGTCTTTGCAGTCAGCCTGTAGTTAATTAGCCACCTCCACACAATAAGGCCATAAGTCATTAATCACCCAAAACCATAGCACAAGCCGGCTTACTGTGAGGAAGACGTTTGAAGACAAAAAGTTTGCTGCCTATGACAGACTTCAAAATGGCCCCTGTCAGTGGTTTGTAAATTATAGGGCATGTCGAGTGCTGAAAGACAAGAGCCCGCTGTTTAACTCACTGTTGCTCTTTCCTTTGCTTTGTCAGTTGACAGACTCTCTTCAAAGGAAAATTTGCCTTTCGTCGGCTTTTCATTGGCTGCCATATGACTCAAAAAGACACAATTTACTTTGTGTATCTAGATTACTCACACCAAATTCACTACTTTAAGTCTCATTTCTTCCATTTTATGATGGTGCACTAATAGAAGAGGACAAGCTCCAAAGGTCAACAGCTCAGTAAAACCCAGCTTTAACTTTGTAGTCCGGCCGTTTACATTGCTTGTCAAAGGGAGGAAATGATAGTGATGATAAATATGGAGATTGTTTGGAGAAGCAAAAGCCTTTCTCCTGCAAAAACAAACCACCATGATTCTCTGGATGATTGAAGACGCACTTCTCAGCTGACTGAACATGCAAAAGGTCATCAGTTTTTCCTTTTGTGTCTATAAACAGAGATCCGCTTGCTTTTCCAGAGAATATAAGCAAAGGGGAAGGTTTATTTGAAGCAGCAAATGTTTGTGTAACTATGGGAAATCCCCTGATTGGATCATCAATATTGCTGACAAAAAAGGTGTTAAATTCATTATGTGGCTGCAACATTCATGACAAGTGTTTAAAAGCTGTTTGATGGATGGATTTCATGCAAATCCGCATCCATGACTTAGTGTTTTGAAGAGCTCCATCAATTCAGTGGGGCTGTAAAGACCATGGCTTTTCAACCACAACAAGCCATGGGCGTCTGCAACACATGGCCAGCAGCTGTGAAGAAATGACCACTTCTAAACACGAGCATGTGTCTGCAACGGGCTGCACTTTACTGATCTGTTCCCCTTCAGGTGGAGGACTGTATGTTTTGCTCACGTTGCAGTTCAAAGCAGAGCAGGCCGTGATTCAGCATGAGACAGAGTTTTCCATCTGGCTTCTGACATCACAGAAGGGGGTGCAGTGGCCATTTGAGGCACCGTTTACTGTGATAACCTCAAGACCCCCTCCAGTTAGGTTGAACTCAAGCTTTTGAAACGGTTAAAGTAGGTTTATTTAGGTTTAGTTCTTCTGTTTGTACTCTAAATTAATATCCAATACTACTGTTTCCTAATGCTGATGCAACATGGGACATAAAGGTTCAATTGAACTATTTCCCTTGTTCCAGGAGAATTCTTCCATTTCAAAAAGTTTCATACCAACACTGAACTGGAGAGCACCCGACTCTGAGAATACCGAGATTCCTGCTAGAATGATAACATATTTTAACACATATATATATATTTTAAGTGGCATCACAAAATGTTACTGTAACATTCCTATTTAGATATAATTTAAGTTCCCAGTCTATATTGAATTAGTATATGAAGACTGATTAAATCTAATTTACCATTTTACTTGAATCTTTTACCCAAGCATTTAATAAATGGTCGCTCAGACATTTTAACCCATTTTCTTAATATTCTTTTATATATGAAAATAAATATAATCAATCAACAACTGACAGTGATAGTATGAGCAGAACTACTGTTTCCTCAAGTCATGAGATACAGTAATGCATTTTGCATTATGCGTGCCTCAAATTCTAGACTGAGCTGAAGGTTATGTGAGCAACCTTCTGTCCTTTAGTGGGAGGTTTTGTAGTACTGTTTCTCTGTATGCTTGTCTTTGCAATTTTAATTTTAATTTTAATTTGTGAAATTTGTGATTACTGTGAACTATTATATCATTCCTTAATTTTGCTTAATTTTCTAATATTTTGATATTTTGCTGAGGTTTCTAAGTAAAAACACACTCCAGGACAAAATTTTTTGATGAAGGCTAGTTGAGCCATAGGAGCCCTGATTTTGTCCACAGACATCCATAAATGCAAAATACCTTGGATACTGTGAAATTGAATCCAGTGAATTTTTTTACTTTATACTTTGACTAGTTTATACTGTGGTGTCACAGATATATTTATCTTAAATAAATCATTTTAAGGTCTCTGTCCCACTTCTTCACAACATCTTAATATGATGTTTGAAAGTGAAAAAAGATGCATCACATGACCCACGCTGGCCTCGTGACCGACTGGTTTCAGTCATTAGGTTAGTATCTTTATTACCATCGACCACTGAGCCATGCTTTGGCCTTATCTGCATGAGGGATGAGTGGATTTGTTGAATATCTGACTGTTGTGATGAATTGCTACACTGTTGTCATGGTTTAAAGGATTTGTTTTTTAGGGACTGACTAAAACAGTTAAGATTATTTTTATTTGTGCTCTGTTCTTCAAGGCTTCATTTGAGCAGTCATAAAAGCTGTTAAGCATTTTACACATATCTCATTTTAGTATAGAGCTGCTCTGTCATATCAGTTCCTCTTTGTAACAATAGATTCATCAGTTATTTTGAGAAGATCCAGGGTTTTGATCTGTAAAATGTGTTTTGTCTATGAACACACACTGCACATGATATTTTCAAATAGTTTGCACCTCTAGTCACCAAAGGTTTAGCATGACATCTGCATGCTGACAGATGTCATGCATATCCAGGATATTTGTTGTTGCACATAAAAACAAACTGCTCTCTTAGTTTCTTTAGAAAACTAGTCTTAAAAGTTGGGCATTTGTTGGCTTTTGTAAATCTCTCCATCCCAGCAAAATAAAAAAAACAGAAATATGAAAAAGAGTTGGCTAAGAAACTGGTGTATATTGAATTCAAAGTGCCTCTTACAAACCCACAATAGCATTCAAAAATAGAAAACATTTCCCCAATATAAGAAATGAATAATTATTTAAAGTTTTTTTTTTCTTCTTTTCTTTCTTTCTTTTTTTAGTTTTGAGTCAGAAGTTTTTTAATCACCATGTGGAATGAACAGGGAACACAGAGCACCTGCAAGCAGTGTCTGTGTGAGCTTTAAACACACCAGGTAACGTGGTTTCATGACAACGTCAAAACAAATCAATGCCAGTTCTGAAGATCCTGACTGATTTTCCACATCCATCATGGCTTCAGAACACAGTGCAGCAGCTCGATCGGCCTTGTGGAGCAGAATTAAGATTTCTGAAATCAAAGACCATTGATCAAGGACACAGTAAAATCCATATTTGTGCTCATTCAAACCAGCTCAAATGGAGCAAAGAAATGCACAACCATCCCCGTGTAAATAACAATAATGGACATCGAGGCATTTGAAATGTATGTTATAATAATTGTTTATTTTACTCACGCTTGAAGCTATCGCAAATAAATACAGTGATCCCCACATGGATCCACTCCCTGCATGAAATACAATATAAAACTCAATGGGCTTTAATCTCCTTTATAAATGTATAATTCTTTGTCTCTATTGGTATCCTAAGGCCGAGGCCGTAGTCAGTCTTTGTCCATACAAGGCGTACGGGGAGTAATAAGGCCCGGTGGCTGCCGGCACTGGGACCGGAGCCCCGGGGGTGGGCAGTGGGCTCTTTGAATACGGGTGATAGCGGCTGCTGAGTCCGAGGGGGTGGTGAGGGCCCCTGAGGGCCAGCGTGCCGGGGCTGCCCGGGCTGCCGTTGGGGGGCATATGCATGTGGCAGGCCATGGCAGCCGCGGCAGCAGCGTTGGCGAGAGAGGTGGACCCCGGATAACCGGATATCAACTTCTCCGTGCCGGCGAAGGCCGTGTGAGTCCGCAAGTGGCCGAGGAGCTCTTCAGAGGAGGAAAATCTCTTATCGCAAGGTCCGTTCGCCGACACCCAGTTGCAGACGTGCGGCAGGGGGTCGTTGGGCAACATGAACCCGTAGGGGTACAGGGGGTGTCCGCTAAACGACGGGGCGGAGGTGGGCACCCCGTGTAAGTGGTGCGCCGGGTACATGAGTGGGTATCCGGACTTGAGCGCCGAGGCGGCGGCGGCGGCCGCGGCAGAGTCATGTGCGCAGTTGGCGCTGGAGGCGCCGGACAAATGGCTGGTGCAGTGGTAGCTCAAGCAGTACGGGTCTCGACACAGACTGGCAGACATCAGGGACGGGGGCGACGCCCCGGCCAGAGGGCTCGTCCCGGCCTTACTGCATGCCAGGGAACTGGCAAACTGCGCGCTCAAAAGTTGGCTGCTAGATTTGGTGGGGTCAAGGGTCATTCCGTGTGGCAGAAACGGCTGGGGGTAGCCGGCGTACGCCCCCGCTAAACTCCCCGGGTAAGAAATACCAGCGGATTGCAGCGGGAAAACCGTATGACCGGGTTTGTAGGGAGAGACGGGCGCCACCAGTCCGGAGCCGAGAACAGTGGAGGTGGAGGAAGTCACAGATATAGAATCTGACGTCCCACTTTTTGAAGCGGGTGAGTTTTCTTGGTGTTGGTTGCCGTCAGACGTAATTCCATTTATTCTTTGGCTACCACTGCCGTCTGTTGTGCTGCTTTTATTGCTGTCAGACTCCTTCTTTTCCTCCTTGTCCCCCGCCTTGCCCTCGGACGGCAGTGGAGACACGGAGGTGCAGGAGCTGGGGCTGCCTGTCCTGGGGGTGAACGGCTGGCAGGTGGCGCTAGTCACTCGAAAACTGCTTTTATCTCCATTGAGAGTGCCGCTCGAGTCCTTCTTCTCTGACGATTTCGAGTAAGGTTTGAAGCTGGATTTGTCGTCGGCTCCGATGTCGCTCATTTTCAACGGGCCAGATTTGGATTCCTTGTCACTAGATCCGTTTGAAGCAACAGAAGAAAGCTTGGAGGAGGACGGCGGGTCCGGTTTGCCGATCTGCGAGCATGTTTGTGCCAAAAGGGCCAGCGGACTCTTCTTGGCATCCAGCTGCGAAATGACAAAACAAAATGTTAAAAAAAATTCCCAAATACTCAGACATGCATATGAACTGCGACGATGTGGCAGATAACAACATGACCGTTCCGCGTATTTTACGCACTGCGCAGAAACTTGTCGAGCGATTAAACAAAACAACCCAAAAACTCGGCATCAAATGCACGCGCAAGTTGCAGTTTTACAAAGCATTAGAGTTAAGCTCGAACAGATGTCACAAGTGCAAAATGACCTTCAAAATATTAATATCAATTTGGCAAGTAGGGCGTAATGGATATGTAAACCGAGTCTAGTTCTTCAGTTTACTCTCATGAAGCGTATAAGAAAACGAACATGCCAGCAAAGCTTTAGTTTTAAAATGGCATTAAACTGTTTTTCCAAACAATATCTGCAACACTGGCTGAATTCCAAATTGCTGGACATCTCACCTCGATGGGACTGACAGGAGTGGACGGTAGAGGCTGAAGATACTCCGGGTGTAAAATGTGTCCTGCCCGGGCCGTGAGCATTTTCAAAATCTTTATGGGAAGACGACTGGCTTGGCGAGAAGGGTCTGTGGGAGAGACGGAGTTGCGGACAGATAGTTGGCTGGTCTTCACTGCTCCCTTCTCCCCCGAGAAGCCGCTCTCCCACGCTGGATTGGTGCTATTTCTCAGGACAGAGATTGTGGGCGATGTGATCATGACCCAATTCTCGTCGTAATGGTCGAAAAAGGCATGTGTACTACACAAGAATAACCAAGAACAAAAATTCGTCTAAAAGGTCGGAGCCTTGTTCCCGGAGAGAAAGAAACAAAGTAATATCCTTAAAACTGATGGGGAGTGTGTGAGCAGAATCCGCGTAGTGAACGGGCGCTCTGGAACATCTCCGTTGTGGCTCTCTCAGTGTGGCTGTAGGTCCGAGTGCGAACTCCCGTTTACGTGGGTCTTGTGCAGGAGAGCGATCACTCCGCCCTCTCTCCAGCGGCATCTAAATTTGTCCGTAGACCACTGCCTCCACAGCCCCCCAATCAAAAAGAGATCCCAGCGTGATGGAGGGTCGAAGTAATGTGACGTTTCCCCCTCGCGCTGGTGTCTGTTTCATATGTCACCCACTCTGAGAGCTTTTAATTTTGACATTTTATACGCGTCTGCGCCTAAGTGGCAGTTTGGCGCATGCGCTGTTTTCTAGTCTTTGGGGGGGTTTGGGTCGCCGGACCAGAATATCAGGCAGCTCCGTGCATGTTCTTAACAGGATTTCTTAGTTTTGCAGGAGCGTCGTGATTCAAGACAGATTTTGTTGGAAGTCTGGGTACCTCTGACCTACATCTGAACATTTACACCCCTTCAAGCTCTAAGCAACTTTAATCTTATTTTTGATACAGGAAAACAGAAGCTACGCTCCTCTCGGTACCCACGAGATATTTTCACAAATAGATCCGTGTGCGTATATCGATTTGACTCCAAAAAATGAGATATAAAAGTGTTTGGTGTCATACCCTCCAACACGCAGCTACCCATCCGTGTTTTTTAAACTTTCTTGTCTCAAGCACACAGCTGGCGTCCAGGTTTGGAAACTGACAGATGACAGGCAATCTGTCAGCCGTGCGCAGTTTGTCCTTTTTTTCTTTTCCTGGGCACATATCAGTCAGATTCGGGTCAAGTGAACCTATGAGAATTGGTAAGAAGAAGTGATGTTTCTCTGCCCTCACTCGTTCATCATTTAGTGGTTTCCCTGGTGTTAAAAAAAAATCCAAAACAGAACATTGTTTAACAGGCTTTTTTGGAGACTTCTTAATTTTCCACTTGCACAGGTTAAATAGCGACAATTTAAGTTTTATCTTTTATAAGTGGTAAATTAAACATATTTAACTGAACTTTTTTGCGATTCTGGCGAAAAGCTGACTCATTATATTCAAAGACCCAAGAAAAATCTCTCGCAGACGCCATTAATCATTAAAGCATCTCCTCATCGGAATAGACCCACTTATCTTATTACTCAATAGCCTATAAATGTCTTGCTGATCAGGCGAAAGTTAAACATATGCAAGTGTTTTTTGATTGATAACAGGGGTGCTGTTTTCGGCAACGGCTGTCAGGCTCTGACACAGCGCTTTGAGTTATTAGGGCAGAGAAGGGCGACCATAAATTTCGACCGTCAGGCAAAAACTCCTTTATTGTGGACGTGATGGATGACTCGCAGCAGCAGACACCAAATTCTCGGCTTTATCCTTAAATGGCTTTAGATTTTTTTTTCTTTTGCAGTGATTCATTACTTTTAAATGGAAAACGTGAATTCTACGGCTTGTATTTTACACAAAGACATGTTTATGAATTACTCAGTGGATGCACATACCTGCAGCGTTTACATAGGCTGCAGCTTTTGATTTCTGCATTTGTTGTTTACAAAAGAAAGAAAGCGTCTAACGGAAAGCAAGTTTTTGGTCAGGTTACAATAAGTGACACAATTTAGATAAAAAAAAGATGTGAGAACTCAAACGCAAATGTGACTAAATTGAGTAAAATTCTCTGGATTTCTGTTCAGCGCTTCATAGATATCTTTGTATTTTTTTCAAGAACTTCCAGTTGTGATCATTGTGTTACCATAAATAATTGTAGTGTACAAAGAAGGTTTCATGATTATTACAAACTCCATACTGCAGTCTTACAGGCCACGCTGTGTGTTACCAATGCTTTTTCACAGAAGAAATGTCAAAGAAGTGACAAGTCAGAATCTTTATGTAGTTTTTGAAAGGACAAAGGTATTTTGAATTTTCAAGAGTTTGGTTCAGATTTCATTTGAAGTCCTAATGGGATAATTTAGATATGAGAGTATTCCTTACCACCTTTTAGTCTTACTTTGATCATTTTTTGTGCTGAAACAAAACCTTATGTTTATTAGACAATTTTACAGTTTATCTTGAATTTATTATGAAGATGAAAATAATGTCATTAAAAACACCGTGTGGAACTGTATTTTGCATAGCTTGTGCTGTGTAAATCAGCTCTGAAGGCTGACCGTACAGTACCCTTTGAAAAAGGAAAATGCATGTCTCAGCACGTATTTTATGGAGCAGCAGCTACCCACACAGTGGAGTGTGACAATAATGTTATTGTGCACGCTTAAAGGTTTCGGTAATGGAAGATTGATACAAAGAGCCGGGGGAATGGGTCCAGTTTGTCCTGTTCTCCTATACTTGAACCTGTGCTTTAAAATCATCAACTGAAACTATCAGAAAGAAGGGCAGAACCTTAAGTGCAAAAACTCTTGTCATATAGTTTTCAAGAAATAATATGGACGATAACTGCTGCATTATAATGTCAAGCAAATGAAATAAGAAATTCCCGCGACATGACATGAAAATTCACCCCATGGCAGCCAGCACAGGGTGCGTCACGTCAGCAGCCAGACAGGCCGACTGGATCTGACAGGTAAAAAGGCGAGATGATGGTTAGAAGGTGTTATTGTTTCATGCCTCTTTCTTGACCTGTCAGTTCTGGGCACAGAGGCATGGATCGAGGACCTCCTTGTCACATGAAAACAGTCTTAAAAGGCCGTTATCCAGAATATAGTGATTGCTCCTGTTTAATTGATTTGCTTTGCACAGAGACCTGTCACATTAATAATGGTAAAGTACAGCTCTAGTGTGTCACCCACAGTGCTGCGTCTATCGGGAAATTAACAGCCTTAACTAACTGCTCTCTGTGAAAGAGGAACTAGAGGATGATATCAGTTGCTGCAATTTCATGCAGTTGATGAAAATAAAGTTATAAAGGGCCTCTGCTGATTCGCAGTGTGTGTGTTCAACTTTCTTCTCTCTCTCTCTATCCATATATATATATATATATATGTATGTTTATATGTATATATGTATGTGTATATATAATATATATGTAGGGAGAGTAGAACAAAGGGCATCAATGAAAAATGAAACTGAGTGAATAAAAGTTAGATTATGCTTCTCAGCTTTTCACAGGAGCTTTTGATGGGTTGCACTAGACATTAAGTCATTCTGATATTTCTATGACTGACTGACAGTTTGGAATTGCTCCCATCACCTTGATAGCATGGTAATGCACCTTGCACGCGTCTTTAAAGTGCAGGAAATTAGACTCCAAGCTGAGAGTCCCCTTTCAACCAAATATGACAAGAAAATAGACTGCTTTTCTTCCATGCCCATAGAGGGGGAGAAGGCCCATAGAAACCGGGAGAGAATAAGAGGTTATAGGCGAGTATGTCAGGAAGCATTACAGATATTATGTGTTCAAGACAGGACATTTCAGATACTTAGAAGTCATACCCATTCCCCTTGACTACACCTGAGATATTTTTCTCCCCCATCTGTGTCAAATAGTATAGCGCTGCCTTCATTTGCAAGAGCTCAACTCGGAGCTGACAGAGAACTTGCATTATCTCGCCGGAAGTCAGACGACAGGAGCTCAGTGTGGCGGTGAGAGTTAGAAAAGTTGAGGTGCTGCCAAGATTGTGGCAGTGAAGGGTCTTATTCACTTTGTCTTCTCAATTAGTTAAAGCTGGTCAGGAGTAGAAAGTAAAGCCTGTGGAGATGATGCGCTGTCGTCCACTTGCTGGCAAGTGGGTGAGGATCCTGGTGAGTTGTAGTCATGCTGTAGAGAAGAGTTAACTTCACCTAACCACTCTGTTTGCACAGAAACCGGTCGTTCAATTCAACCTGACAACTACCATTTTGCTGGTTCAGAACTTTGAGAAAACTTTAAGAGGCTCATGTTAGACCTCCTTTAATGTACCTGTCTATTTGCTTTAGGAGAGAAATCATTTCCACTTATGTTAAAGTCAGATCATGGCAGACTATTTATCCAGTTTGGTATCACAAATATGGTGATACATTTATGACTGTTTTTTTTTTTAAACAGATGTCATGATACACCTGCCATAATTCCCTTTTCTACATTGGGATCAAGGACATGCAAACACAATAAGTTATTCAATAAACTAAAATTAGATGCAGAAAATAGAATAAAAAGAATATTTTTAATATTTTAATATTTTAATATTTATATTATATCACAAATGAATTTATATTCACATTACATTACATTTACATTCATAGTATTGCACTAATTTGAGAAGAAATCACTGCAAAATCAATATTTGACACTCACCCAACACTAGGTGCTGATCCCTTACATTTGTCTAGATTTAATTTCTGGAGCTTAATTCTGGGTAAAAGTGCACATGTAGCATGTTATACTGCTGGAAGCACTGTACAGGTTGGGATGAATGTCTATGATGGGCAGATTATTCAGACTAAAGTAGGCCTAAAGAATGATCTTGTCACATTTCACAGGGAGGATTAGGGATACGCAGGAGGAGCGTTTCAGTCAGGAATTAGTGTCATGTGGTCGTCTGGAGACAAGCATGCAAGGTATTTGCGAAGACAGGCTTGGACACTTCCTGCTCCATTTGTCTACTTAGTTATCATCTACCAAGGTTAAAGGCTATTTCTCTGATGCTTGTGTTTTAAAAAAAAGTGAACTTTTTTTTTCCTCTTTTGTTCTTTTAGAAAAGTTGAAAAATGAGATCAGAACATCCTGTGATACGAACGAATGACATCTTGATATGTTGCCCATAGCAGCACCTGCTATATTTGCCTTTGCATTTTAGATGAAACTGAGTGTGGGTGTTTCAGGCTATCAGAACAGGCTATTACTAAGATGATTGAAAAGCGAGAGAGCATGCGGGCTGGGAAGACAAAGTAGAAGAAGCTTGACAAATGAAATCAAACTTCATAAGACCTGCCAGTTGTGTCAGTTGTTATCCATATCTCAAGTGCATTATGGTACTGCAACGCAGCATACTGCCTTCTCATCTGTCGACTCACATTCATCACATTCTCGACTGTTTCTTTTAAGTCACAAGTGTCAGTGCGAAGAGTCTTAATTGACAAGTGAGTGGCACAGACATGGATGGCAGCTTTTATTTTTGCGCCAAGAAGGGTTGTGGTGTTTTGATGAGCTATTATTGGCAGAAGCCAGTAGCAGATAGCAGCCTGGAAATGGGAAGTGACATCAGACAGAGAGGAGTTTGTCATTGTCTTCGGGCGAGTTCAGTCTTGCTCCAAGTTCGGGGACAG